GCCTCCTGGGTTCAAGCGATTCTCCTGCCTCAGCTTCCCAGATAGTTGATATTACAAGCATGTGCTACCACACCCAGCTAATTTTGTATTTTTAGTAAAGATGGGGTTTCTCCATCTTGGTCAGGCTGGTCTCGAACTCCTGACCTCAGATGATCAGCCCACCTAGGCCTCCCAAAATGTTGGGTTTACAGATGTGAACCACCGTGCATGGCCTAGAAAATATTTTTAAACAAGACATTATTTTATCACTTATAAAAATTATTTTTAATTTTATTAAAATAGAGTTTAATAACATGTGCTGTTAATATTTTTGAATTTATAGAACCTCATTTATGTATTGTACATATTTTATTTGTATAACATTTCTGTAAACTTCCTGGGTGTGGTAAAAAAAGTATAGGCAGTTTGTTGGAGATTAATCTCTATATACTAATAGTTTAAAACTATCAATTGTAGAGCATCAAGATAGGTGAGCATGCAGATGTTCCTGGAGGATTGCATACCCAGGAATGTCATGGAAGCTCCATGCCCCTTCTCCTATACCTCACGTTACCCATCTCTTCTCTACATGTTTTAATTGCCTTTATAATGAACCGGTAACTGCAGATGTTTCCTTGAGCTCTGTGAGCCACTCCAGAAAACTGTGACCTTAAGGAAAAACTCTAGCAGCATTGAAGAATGAGCCCTCAGGTGTGACCAGAATAATTAAAGATTTTAATGATCATTGAATGCATTTCCCTATTCTTGTTAATTTTTATGGCTTAACTTGTCCTGAGACATAATTAGTCTAAAGCAAGGGTTAGCTTCAAGCTTTGAATCTCATTAAAAATAAAGAATTGCTATGTTCTTTTAATCTTATTCACAGTAAATACAATGTATTTTCTTTTTCTGATAATTATTTCATAACTATCTATAAGAATGCTTATTGTTTCAGTGATGTTAAAATCTGTTGGGATTCTAAACAAATGGCCTAAAATGCTAATGCTTTTTAAATGTTCAAAATATATTTTATGTCTTCAATATTTAAGTATTGTATTAAGTTTTTCTGTCCTTGTTTAACATTTAATAATTCTAGTCTTGACATCGTAATGTATTTTCATTATACTTTAATTAAAGTTAATTGTTAACTATGAACAACATGAGCAGTACCAATATATGAGGATTTGGGGTAAATAATAGTATCAGTAAAAGAACAGGTTATTAACATAAATAATATGGCTTTTAGTAGTTCAAGACATAACTAAAGACAAATCTATACAAAGCAAAATTTTCTGGGGCCAATAAAGTGCTTTTGTAGAGAAGGATGTAAACGCTATTTTGCAGGGGATACACTGTTACTCTGAATAAATGCTTAATTTTGAACGGGGTCAGGTTCTACTTGGTGTAAATCAAAAAGTATCTGAGACAGATCTCAATCAATTTCAAAGCTTGTTTTGCCAAGGTTAAGGAAACATGCCCATGACACAGCCTCAGGAGGACCTAAGAACATGTGCCCATGGTAGTCAGGCTACAGCTTGGTTTTATATGTTTTAGGGAGACAGAAGACATCAGTGAATACATATAAGATGTACATTGGTTCAGTCTAGAAAGGCAGGACAACTTGAAGGGGTGGGAGCCAGTAGGGTGGAAGGATGTACAGCTTCCAGGTCATAGATGATTTCAAAGATTTTCTGATTGGCAATTGGCAAAGACTTTCTGATTGGCAATTGGTTATCTAAGACCTGGAATCAGTAGTAGGGAATGTCTTGGTTAAGATAAGTGGTTGTGTTATGAGACCAAGGATTTTATTATGTAGAAGCCTCCAGGTAGCAGATTTAAGAGCAAATAGGTTATCTTATGGTCTCTGTTTTAATGTTAAATTCCCACCATGGCCTGAACTTGTTTCACGTTAACTTTCAAATGCTTCTAGTTGAGTGGAGGAGTCCATTCAGTTGGTTAGGAGGACTTAGAATTTTACTTTTGAGTTACAGTGGTGATAGCTTGGCTTTTCAATCAACTTGAACTATCTACCTATTGGAACAATGAGGACTAGTGTTTGGGGGTTACTGTTGGTATCTTCAAAATTCAAGCTTACTTAGAAAATTAATATGGCTAAAATATTAGACACATTAATTTTCAAGCTGCTCTTTGTGTATTGTCTTCTTTTGCCATAAAAATGGTCTGGTTTGGGTTTTGAGCAATGACTGAGGAAATGGTAATGCCTGGACACCTATATAGGCCTGAAAGGAAAAAGTATTAATAGGAGTTGTAAGACTTCTGATGGACACTATGGAAAGCCAAGCCCAGGAGTCAGATGTGATGAAGCTGTTAGGTAACGCTGGAACTACTGCAACTCTTGAAGATGTCAGAAAGGGAATCCATGGATTTTCATTCTTATAGTCCTCAAGTTAAATGACTCAGCTAGCTTTCCACTTGACTGGTTCTTTCTATTTCTGTGACAACTGACTTCCTCTGCATATTATTTATGCAACACTTGACTTATCACAGCCTTAATGGTACCTTATGACTTCCTTAATCTGAGGAATCTTCCTTAGCTGAGAACTAGCCAGTTTTCTCTGGAGGTTACCAGTTCAGATCTCCCAAGGGAAATTCAATGGCCCAGATTTTATTTTAAAGTTAGAATTATTCAGTTATTCTTTACCCTAGACTTTTCATTTCCTGTATATTAGTCTGTTTTTGCATTGTTATAAAGAAATACCTGAGACTGGGTAATGTATAAACAAAAAAGGTTTAATTGATTCATGGTTCCACAGGCTGTACAGAAAGCATGGCTGGGGAGGCCTCAGGGAGCTTTCACTCATGATAGAAGGCAAAGCTGGAGCATGCATCTTCACATGGCCAGAGCAGGAGGAAGAAAGAGAAGTGGGAGAGGTTCTACACACTTTTAAACAACCATATCTCACAATAACTCTATTACAAGAACAACACTAGGATGGTGGTAAACCATTTGAAACCACCCCATGATCCAATCACCTGCCACCAAGCCCCACTTCCAGTATTAAGGATTACATTTCAACATGAGATTAGGGTGGGAACACAGACCCAAGACATATCCAGTAACTGGAAATGATGATAATGGAAAAATCATTAAAAGGATGTTTGCTAATGCCAGAGCTGCACCCAAGCTGTGGTCCACTTACCTCTGGGCTCCAGGCTGCAGACACCTGTATACTGCTCTCTGAGAGAAAAATCATTTAAAGCACTGTCTTTAGGGATATTTCAATTACAGTACCTTAGTCTTCATTTTGATTAATTTAGTAATTGTTTACCTTCAAATGTGGTTACTACCATAACAAATTCACTAGCTACAAAAATTAATTGGTTTTACATAAAATAAACATGAGTAAATCTCATAAAGTTGAGTTTCTCATAATTTAGCCAAACTTTAACATAACATATAGTATTTATTTTTTATAAGAGCATATGCAATTTAAAAAATGTATAAAATATGCACGAGGCAAATACGTAACTTCTGTATAGTGGTTACCTTGAGTGGGAAGACAGGAAGAAAGGAAGTTAGCTGAAGCTTTAATAATAAGTAAATTAAAATAAATAATATATTATTTATAAAAAGGTCTGAAGAAAATTGGACAAAACATTTATATCTGTTTAATGTTTAGGGTTAGTCCCATAGGCGTTTTGCTAATTTCTTCTTGTTCTTCATGTTTGAAATGTTTCGGAACTAAATATTTCTTATAGTTGTGTATATGGTAAAAATTAACCTTCCTCCTAAATTTGATTTCCAATCCGATAACTCAGTCTATCTTCAGAGATCATCTCGATCATGAGTATCTTTTATCATTTTAGGAAACTTCTAAGACTATAGTGTTCAATGCATGAGGCTATTAAGCATTAGAAATATGCTTATCCAAACTGAGATATACTATAAGTGTAAAACACACATTGGAATCTAAAGAAATATAACACAAAAGAATGTAAATTATATCATGAATAATCTATTACATGACCAAATGATAATTTGAATATATTGAATTAAGTATATTAGAAAAATTAAGTTTACCTTGTGGGTGGATCATGAGGTTCAGAGATCAAGACCATCCTGGCCAACATAGTGAAACCCTGTCTCTGCTAAAATACAAAAATTAGCTGAGTGTGGTGACACATGCCTGCAGTCCCAGCTACTCAGGAGGCTGAGGCAGGAAAATTGCTTGAGCCCGGGAGGTGGAGGTTGCAGTGAGCCAAGATTGCACCACCGCTCTCCAGCCTGGCACCCGGAGACAGAGCGAGACTGTGTCTCAAAAAAACAAAATGTGACTACAAGAAAACTATAAATTGGATATTTCGTCCACTACCATACAATTATTTTCTTATTATAGGTAACCCTCAGTGACTTGAAAGTCTCAGCGACTAGTGTACTCTCAGCAATTATAAAGACTATAAATTCTGTACAAGTCTGGACCACTTTCTATACTCAGGGCAGATAATGCTATTTTTAGGAGACACAGTTAGAATAAGTGGCATAAGGTGACAGGTCCTGATGATATTGTGTTCAGAAGGAAACATCATGATGTCTTCAGTAGCCTATTCTTAATGTCCCATAGTTTTTAGGTAAGTGATACTATTATGCAATTGCTCTGAAACTTGGCCACAGGCCATAATTACCTGGAGTGTTTTAGAAAGAGAGATTCCTAGGCTCAACTCTAGAGTCAAATTTTTCTTTTTTTTTTGTTTTTCTCAAAGGAACCACACTTTCAAAAGGAAATGAGGTTTATCCGGGTAAGAGAATTGTAGTCATAAAGTGTAGGGTTTCTCAATTTAAAAAAAAAAATAGTTTGTTAAATGAAAAAAAGAATATTTTATATAATCAATGAATATATGTATGAATTTAGTAATGAAGGTTTTGATTAAGGAACGGTGTAATTATTAGATCTTTTTCAATATTTGTCAATAAATAATTATTTCTCAAAATAATGAAAAAATTATGAAAGTCATGGTAATGAGTTTGAAATGTATCTACATAATAGTCTATTCATTTTCAGATTAATTTTTTAAAGACTGAAGTTGAAAGAAAGAGCAAAATGATCCGAGACCTCCAGAATGAGGTAAGATTTATTATATCTTAGAGACATTTTACATAAACCAAAAAATGCACATAAGTGAACATATAAATTTGCCACAGTTTAAAGTATTAAACACATGCAAATTTGACTTTCAATTATAGGCTAATACAGAGAAACTGTTAGGCTAAGAATTTCAAAAAGTGGTTAATCCTTATATTTATATATATTTGATAATTTACAAATATTACATATATTTGAAATAAAGTTATCTAATTCATTTTTCTTTCTAATTGTATTTTGCTTAGGTGCTATTAAAAATCAATTTTCATTTAACAAATTTACATATTTGTTTAAAAAATGACATTACAGGCACTGAAGAAGAAAGTTAGATAGATATTGACTGCATGCTAAAAAGGGCCAATCTAGAATGAAAAATATGTTTAAGGATAATCTCAAGATAATGTAAATTTAAATATAAACAAGTTGTAATCATTTTCATGGTAGCCTTTTAAATGTAAGAATCCTATTAAATACTGCATGCATTTTTCTCTTCTGATTTATTTATCTTGTTATACAGCTACTTTATTTTCTGTAATTTCTCCATTACCTATTTTCACCTTTTAATTTCCTTTTTATTAAATGCAATTAGTTAAGACCATTGAGCCTTGACTAATTCACGATAAGTCTTTCTTGATCAATCTCACTAATTATGGTTTATTTCGAATCTTTAGTCAATCTTCATAGCTGTTATTAATCAATCTTGCTTGCTTACTTCCTTTTTTCCTTCTTTTTTCCCTTCTGCTCTCCCTACCTTCCTCTTTTTTGACCTAATTCCCTCCTTTTCTTCTTTTCTTTTTTCCTTTCTTCTTTTTTCTCCTTCTCTCCATCCCTTCCTTCCTTCTTTTTTTATTTATTAAGACATTTACACAACAAACAAACTTTATTTTTCTTAATTGACTTTCTACTTGATATAAAAGTTAAAAGACTTTATAAATGACTTGGTATGACTATTTGGAATCAATATCTGACTATGACATTAAAATAATTTTTCAAATGTAGAGGAAAAGTACAATAGAAAACAGTAAGAATCATTTTAAATGTTTCTTGTGATTATAATATATTTTAATTTTATTTATTCCTAATTATCTTCTGAGTCTTCTCAAGAAAGCATGATGGGTGAACTTGATAATCTTTCTCCTGAGGCTCAGTTTTTCTAGACTTCCTGATTATGATGGAAACATATCAGCAGACTGGAGTTATTGGAATACTGGGTGTAATAGATAATATTTGTTTGTTGGGATCATTTAAGGCTCAGTGAGAAAGCCAGATTACTCAAATCAAAAAGTTCTCGTGTACCGTTTAAAACAAGGAAAACATTTAAAACAAGATTAGAGTCCATTTTAAAATAGGATAGAGAGTACATTTATATATGCACACACACACAAACAGTAATATGAACCCAGTTGTATGATCATAAGAGAATTTCAAGTTGTTATCTTTATATAAGTAGCATCAGTTCACATTTAATTTTAGATAACTTCTTAAAATCTAGAATTCAACTAAGGAAAAAAAACGTTCTTTCAAAAAATCTATTAGACTGGGCACAGTGGCTCACAACTATAAGCCCAGCACTTAGGGAGGCTGAGGCAGGAGGACAGGTTGAGCCCAGGAGTTTGAGACCAGCCTGGACAACATGGTAAAACCTCATCTCTATTAACAAAAAAACTTAGCTGGGATTGGTGGCACATGTGTTGTCCCAGCTTCTTAGGAGGCTAAGGCAGGAGGATTGCTTGAGCCTGAGAGGTTGAGGTTGCAGTGAGCTGTGATCACATCACTACATTTCAGCCTGGGTGACAGAGCAAGACCCTGTCTCTATGAAAGATAAATTAAAAAAAAAATTAAAACAGCAACAGCAATAACAAAAACCTGCTTGGCTGGCTCATACCTACAATCCCAGTGCTTTGGGAGGCCAAGACAGCAGAGCTTCTTAAGACCAAGAGTTCCAGGTCAGCCTGAGCAACATAGTAAGATTCCATCTCTACCAAATAAATAAATAAATAAATAAATAAATGCAAAACTGTGAATTATTTGTAGCAAGTAGGAAAATACTTTGTCTTTAGAGGTTGTTTTTATAGTGAAATTGTACTTTGGCAACTACAAAGGCTAGAATAATTCAGAAAGAAATACACCTCTACAGAAATAAGATCTACTAAATGTAAGTTTGTAATTACATTTGCTACTATTCACTTTAATACTATTGAGAACTTATGAAATGAAAAATCCATAACCAAAAGGTTTCGTCTTTTTACAAAACCTAATAATGAACACATATTTGCAATTCAAGATTTTCAATTTTACTCCTTCATATTAATTTAATTTTTAGCAAATAATCAGTATGGATATAGAGATGAAGCAGATTTATTTAACAAAACAATTGGTGTATACACTGTAGTGAAGTTATATGGGCACTGCTTGGAAGATTTTTAGTCCAGGCATAAGAAAAAAAACAGCTAAGTGGATTAACCAAAATACAGTGGTGATGGCGATAAAACAGATACAAATAAATTTCTGGAAGAAGTTTGAAGTCCTTTGAATGGTTACTTTTGGCTGAGGGAATTGGGGAAGTCCCAAAAAATGAAGGTGAAGTTCCTCCTATGCTGATTTTGTTAAGAGTTTTTATCATAAAGGGATGCTGGATTTTATCAAATGCTTTTTCTGCAACTATTGAGATAACCATATTTTTTTTTAATTCTGCTTATGTGATGTACCACATTTATTGACCACATATGTTAAGAAATGAGATAGACAGCATGCAATAATTTTTGTACTTTTTGTAGAGAATTAGTTTCTCTATGTTGCCCAGGGGGGTCTTGCATTCTTGGGCTCAAGAGATCCACTCACCTCAGCCTCCTAAAATGCTGGGATTACAGGTGTAAACCACAGTGCCCTGCCAATCAGAGTATTTCAAGCACTTCTATTTCATCTATCTCCACAGCTGCCGGTATCTTCTCATGGGCGCCACTTGTAACTTCTGAATTGTACTGTTATGACTTATAAAAGCTCTATTGTGATTTACGTGGTCTCTTAAGTCTCAGTTTTTGGCTCTCTGCTTTTCTCTTTATATTCTTTTTTATGGGACATTCAAGTCAAATCTATGCTGCCACAGTGTGTATTTCCTTGCATCAATGATCATATTAGCATTTAACAAGTAGTAAAATAATGTCCACAAAGCTTTAAAAATCATTTCGTTTTTCTTTCCAATATGTTGCATTTTGAAGCAGTCAGGCAAAAGCCTTTTCAAATTTTAAAGAAATTTTTTATAAATACAAAAACTTAAGAAAAGAATTGAAAATGTACAGAAGGGCTTCCTTTTAGTGCTTGTGGTGATAGTTACTGCATTAAAACTCTTATGTTTTTTGCTGGCTAAGCTTAAATACAGAAGTTTATGTTAAGATTTTTCTTCTTCATTAAAAGAAGAGATTAATGAAAAATCTGCATCAAATTTTAATTTTGTGTGCTTCATTAGAAGTCAATTCTCTCCAGGATCTGCTTCCCAAAGGAAGAACACTAAATCCTGAGTATAAAGGTGCAAAGAGTCAAATGACCCTATGCTGTCTGAGATAAATGCTAAAAATATTGTACTTACACTTTTATTAGTTTTGTTATTATTTTCCTTAATCAATTTTTTTTTTTTGAGACAGAATCTCACTCTGTCACCCAAGCTAGAGTGCAGTGGTGTGATCTCTGCAGCCTTCACCTCGAGGGTTCAATTAATCATCCTGCCTCAGCCTCCTGAGTAGCTGGAAGTACAGGCATGTGCCACCATACCCAGCTAATTTCTATATTTTTAGTAGAGATGGGGTATCACCGTGTTGACCAGGCTGGTTTTGAACTCCTGACCTCAGATGTGATCCACCCACCTCAGCCTCCCAGAGTGCTAGAATTACAGGTGTGGGCCACCACACCTGGCCTGTTACTGGTTTTTTTGAAGTTCTGGTAACAATGTTAGATAGTAAGTGGTCTTCCCCAATCCCATCTTCCCTCCAGAATTTGTATTTTTAGTATGTAATTTGTAGAATATAAGATTTCCCACATGCAAAATTGGACTTATAATTGATATATCACCAGTTTTCAGGTAACTTTGTAATCTATGTCTCTAGTTCTAATCTCTCTTGTATAATCCTTCTGTTAAAAAGGTTAGCTGACACACAGTACTATTTTCAAAGAGTTTATTTGAGCAAACAGCAATGCCTGAATTGGGCTTTTCTGAACTAGAAGTGGTTCAGGAGCTTCACTGAGGAAATACAGTGGAAGGTTTTTATATGACTACAACGGAAGTAAAGCAAAGAAAGTGTCTGGTGGGTTATAGTTAGTTGCTATATTTGGTCTATCCCATTGGAAAATCTCTAGTTATAAAATTACAAGTTTGTTTCTTCTGTTTGGTTAAGCTAAGCCCTGTTTTTCTTTAATATAGGCATTTATTTAAAATGGCTCACCTCAAGTTTTCATGTTTGCAAATCAAGCAAAGATAAAGTCACTTATAAAGCCTAACTGGCTTTGTTTGCTCAAAGATTCTTCAGGTCTTACCTCCATTTTATTTTAACACATCCTTGTGCTTTCAATGTTTATTTTGCATTTTGTGTTTGAATATTGTATGGTTGTAAAAAATAAACAATTTTGCACCAGAAAATACATCAAAAGAAGGAAACAAATGAGAAATTCAGCCTCCCTTCTCAACTTCCATACATATGGCAACTGTCTCATTATGTAGTCAATCTTGTGTACTTCAAAGTTCAAAATTTATCCTGACTTTCACTTTCAAAACAACCTTCTCCATTATCAATTCAATAATTTTGAATTTTATTTATTTTATCCCTAAGAAAATCAGTTTGTCTGTAATGGTCTGAGATATAAGACAGGCTCAAGAATGAGTACAATAACATGTAAGTCTATGAAATATTAGGCAAATCAGGTACTGGGACAAGCATCTTTAAGTAGTTGAAATTTTTTTTTTCTTTTTTGGAGACAAGGTCTCATTCTGT